GGTGCTTTTTTCAGGTGCAGGTATGCGCTTTTCCGGCCAAGCACTTAATTGATGTTGTGTCGCGTAAATTATAAACAAAACAAAAATTAAAGTGGACTCCATGCGGTTGGCTTGAGCCGAGTCTCGTTTGGTGCTGGGTTGGGCTGGACTGGGCTTGGTTTGGTTTGGCTTGGCTCGGAAGCCCTGGCGGATGCGGAAATGCTTTCATCGCAAGTGGTGTCGTCGCTCATAAAAAGCGCACAGACCCTCCTATAGGAATCACACACACACACACACACACATACTGCGATATCTGACTGTGGTCAAGGGGCTAAGCAGGCTGCGAGTGAGGTCAAGCGTGAAAGTGGAGCTACTTGCAGCCGGATATACTCGTGACCTGTACTGCTCGGCGCTCTTCTGCCGCCTCCTGCTGTCGCCTCCTGCCTCCCTCCAGCTACCGCTGAGCATAAATTTAGCATTTTTGCATTCGCAAAGTGTTCTGCGCAGGGCAGCTCGGGCCTTCCTCCTGCACTCTATGCATGTGTGACGGCCCTTATATTATTTTCATAGGGAACCTGGTCTGTTTAGCTCAACTGATATGTCCAGCATTTTTATAAAATATTCTATAATCGTTGTCACCTGTGCTGACGTCTCAGCTAATTGCCTGCAGCATGTCTCGAAGAGCTGCGACATGGCAAAGTGCGGACAATGGAAAATAAGGTAGTGACTCAATTTATGCTCTCAGACTGTAATGGCACTTACTTCAAATAAAAATAAAAACTATAATAATCAAGAATGAATGAGATAAAAATTTACCTAATACAATCATGAATATTTCTTTGAGTTTGATTATTGTGGCTTTGTGGAACTGCGATTAAATTTAAGAGTCGACGAATTAAACTTGGAAATCAGAAATTATAGGCAATCCGAGAGACAATTGCCGGCTGGGCACATAAAACAAAGCACTGGCAGTGCCACAGCCAGGGCCGCAGCAAGTGGCTGGGTGGGGGCGGGGCAGGGGTGGTCGCAGGATAACAGAATGCGCAGGACAACGGGCAGCAGAGCAAGTGCTACTCAAAATCTGTGCGTCTGCACGCATTACAAACGAATTACGAGACTCGCTGGGCAATTGCAGTTCATTGTTATTTAATATGTCGTCGTTGTCCTTGTCGTTGAGGTCGACAACGAGCATGGCTGGAAATTATACTTTATGGAGACTCAACAGCAGCAGCAGCCGTGGCAGCAGCAGCAGCAGCAGCAGTTGGAACAACAATCCAGGACGCAGAACGGCATGACACTGATTGCAATATAAACGATTGTCAACGTAAACGTATCCAAGTGGATTATTGCCTCATGCCAATTATCATATCAACGATACACAGCAGTCCGGCCAAATGGCCCGGACGCACACAGCGAGACACACGGCAGAGGCAGCTGCTGCACTGCCAGTTGCCAGTTGCCAGTTGCCAATGGCCGCCCACAGCCCCGCCCACGCCACTTGACGAGGCGTTGATGCTGTCGTTGGCTGTGCAACCACCATCGACTCCTCCACCAGCTACGCCTCCTGCTCCTCTTTCATCCATCCTTGTGGCCGTGTCAGGTGGGTTGAGCTCGAGCCAAATTGCATGTACGATTTTAAATGGATTTTGATTGTTTATGACAATTCGACGAGCTGACTGGCCAGGCCTCTGCTGGCCACTGATAATGCGCCATTTAAATAATAACACCGAATGCTCCTCTTGCCCATCTATCCAAGTGTACACTTGGATGGTCCATCTGTCCAGCTGTCCAGCTGTCCACCTGTTCAGCTGCCCATCTTCAGCTGCAATTGCATCGCTCTGCCATTGGATGCGGCATCAATTGATGCAATTTGTGCATTTTAAGCCTGCGAACATTTGCATAATGAACAACGTCACAGTTTCTGGTATTTTTAATCTATTTTTATTTGGTATTTTTTGTGGTATTTTGCTGAAACTTTAATATTTCTTTAGCATCGATTAGGAATGATTTGCATAAGTATAGAATTAATAGTCAAGAATGGAAATAAATTTCATTAGTTTTAGATTTTACTTCGTATTTATTAAGAACTAGGTAATAATTGTTGTAATAAAAATATTTTTAAAAATCTATATATATTTTAAGCAGTAGTACGAATAATATATATTAGTATTAGTGAAAGTTTAGGACCTATACTAGGTACGGACATTCGTATTAAAATCGTCAATTTTACAATCTTATACTTTTAAGGCATATTCTTACAATCCTTGATCAAACAAAAAAGATATTTTTTAAATATATAAACTTTTTCATAAAATTATATACATAAAACAAAAGAGATTGTTTTTTTTTTTTTTTTTTTTTTTTTAATTAGACATACATATAGTATAAAAGTGTTAATTTTAAAATGGAATCCACCACCTACATCTCATTTCAAAATATGTATATATGTATATTAATCACTGCTTTAAAAATATGTATTGGAATATTTAATGTAATAAAAAACTTTACGCAAACAACACATAATTTAAAAAATTTTGAAAAAAATTGAAAAATTTCACTTGAAATATAAAAATTTCTCTTAGCAACATTTTATTTTAAGGCCTTCAGAGTCTGGCTTCTCCTGTTTCAATTCGAGAAGCTTGCGCTGATTCTTCTTGAACTGCTCAATGGGATCCTCGAACTGGCGATAATAGTGCAAAACCTCACGAACATCATCCATCTAAAGACAGAGAGGGAGAGAGAGACGAACAGAGAGAGAAACAACAATTATTGATAAGGATTATTGGCAAGGAATTCAGTAAAATCCACCTTGTGCTCGGCAATGAGTTCCAGGAATGCAGCCAGATCGAAGAGCTGCACATCGTCGTCGTTGCCCACCCAGCGGGTAATGGCAAAGGTGTTGTCCGGATGCAGTGGAACAGCACGGCGATCCCAGTCGATGACAATGACGCGTCGCAGGTTGCGATTGAGATGGTTCAGGTTCTTGATGTGCTGCCCGTCCAGCAGCTGGGTGGCGCCGCGCACCAGACGATAGCGTATATAGCCGTTCGGATCGAGTGCGTCCAGAATGGGAAACGCTGTCATGCCCTGCTCAGCCGTATAGACAATGATCTCAAAGTGTTTGCTGCACTGCCGCAGAAAGTGATCGACGCCGGGTCGTTTCTTGAAGCGCCAGCCCGTCTGGTACGTCCAATCGGGATGCACGAGGATGTCGCGCATCTCGAGGACCAGAGTGTAGGGCGGCTGTATGTACGGCGGACAGAGCACGTCCGGCAGCAGCTTGGTAGTCAGCGGCTCCTCCAGCATCTTCTGGTAGTAGTGCAGCGAGTTCCACATCCGCTGCAGATACTGCTGCAGCACTGGCAGCGAGCTCAGCTCATCCTCGATGCTGCGCCCGAACTGATCCTGCTCAGGCTTGCCCAGCTCATAGACGGCCCACAGTACGGTGCTGCAGAGGCTGCCTAGCACGATGGTGTAGCCGAGATACCTGCGCGTCCTGCTCGCCCCGAAGCTCGGCCTCTCCGAGTTGGCTGATTCCATCAGAGACTTGCGACCATTGTCGCCCATCGTGCGTTGGCTCACATGGGTATGGGCATTCGAGCGCATCTCACGTCTGCAGCTCGCATCGAAGCTGGAGAAGCTGCTGCAATCGTAGCACCGCATCAACCTCTTGCATGGTCGTGGGACGCAAGCTCTGGTGCCCACGTGTTGCTGAATCAGTCGCAGCCATGCTTCACAACTGAACATTCCTGCTGAGAGAGAAATACTGAAATTTTAAAGATTGCCTGGCTGCGTGTGAACATATTCATCAGACTGTGAAGTGAGCTCATTAATATGTATAAATATCTGCACATGGATAGTAATTTTTTTTTTTTTTCATATAAATGTGCCAAAGCAAGTGCTACTCTGTTTTCAGCGTATCTAGAAAAATGAGAGATGAAGTTGATGTAAGTGTGATAACTTCAGGTCAACAAGTTCCCTCAGTTAGAGCAATCCTTGAAAGAGAGCGAACTCAGAAAGAGTGAGCTTAGAGAGAGAGGAATGTTCCTGCTCTTAGAGTCTAACTTGAAATATCGCTCGAAATGCTTTTATTTTCGTATTACTATATACATAAAACAGTCAACTGATTTGACATAAAACATGAACTAAAGACTTGTCATGTTTGGTATATTAACGTATTTTTAAGAGAAATGATGAATTATGGACCAAAGAAGATTCTTGAGCTAATATCTTAACTTTTTAACTACTTTTGTTTTATTTTGATTTAATTTTATTTATTGTATTAATATATTTTATATAGTCCGATTAAAAAGCTATTATTGTAGTTGATTAATGTAATTATGGATTGGTATTTATTTCATTAATATATAAGATAATAAATATTACGCTTTTCACATAGAATTCCTTAAATAAAGCAAAAGTTGTCATATTTTTATTCCGCTGACTGTTGATGCTTATCAATAAATTACAGTCATAGTTGAAAGTATTGTATGATTTTTTAGTCGTATATATTAAATTTAAATTGATTTAAACTGAGACTAAAAACTGCACAAAATATTAAATGTAAATTAAATGATGCATATCAGTTGGCAAACGCATTTACATAAATGTATTTACATAATGTAAGTAAAATGGTATTCTTTTTTATCATTGATGAATTTAAATAAAATAATAAAAATATGTAGAAAATGTTTGCATTTTCCTAGGGCAGTTATCAATTAAAAAACAAGTTAAAATAGGTAAAAAAAAAGTTTTGGAGTTCCTCAACAACATATGTTGTTTTCTTAATATTATATATAAAAATATTTCTTGTTGTCTTATGTTAATGTCAAATTGAAATTGAGCCCTGAATTCAAATTTTCCATGGAGTCAGAGTAAACAAATAAAAAAATATCTTATTCTTCCGAAAAATCAAGAATTCACGTCGCTTGACAAACAAAACTTTAGTTGTTGCCTTTCCTAAACGACATTGATACGTTTTTGACATTTGAATAGAAAACTTCGTACTCATTTCATCCGACATGTCAGACATCTATACTGATGCTTATCGGGAGCCAACGGAATTGGACGTGGACAAGAAGCCCCATGTAGGAAGACCGAAAGTGCGCTGCCGGTTCGTGCCGCTGAAGTACCGCAACTTGAAGGGCCACTGGCAGAGTCGCCTCCGGCCAAGGCAGTCGGTGGCTGAGAAGCCCATCTGCATAAAGCCCAAATGGCAGACACTGAGGCACAATGGGCCGTGCTTTCCCGCTGACCACGAGCGATTGCCGGCGGACGTGAAGTTCTACTACGACAACTGCCCCGTTGAGCTGACCGAGCAGGCCGAGGAGGTGGCCACGTTCTATGCGAAGCTGATGAAGACCGCCTTCGTGCAGATGCGGGAGTTCAATCAGAACTTCTTCAACGAGTTCCGCAGCTGTCTGAGCGAGGAGCAGCGTCGCTACATCACGTGCTTCGAGCTATGCAATTTCTGCGACATCAGCCAGTATCTGGAGTGCCAGCGAGAGGACGAGAAGGAGCGCATCGCGGAGGAGAACAAGCTCTATGGCTATTGCCTGGTCGATGGGGAGAGCCGTCGCATTACTCAGTTTCGCATCAGTCGGCCCGGCCTCTGCTGTCCGCGCCATGGCTTCAGCACGACCATGGGCACGATCCGGCCCCGAGTGCTGCCCGAAGATGTTGTGATCAATTGCGATGAGAACGAGGAGCCGCCGGCGCCGCCCTGCGGCCATCTGTGGGCAGCGGTGGTGCACGATCGCACCGTTAGGTGGGTCTACGCCTGGAATGACATCGTCACGGGCTGCATGCACCACGCCTATCCGCGCAACGAGAGCTCCCGTCGCTCGCGTCCACCGCGTCGCGACCTGCTGGACACGGCGCGTCGCCTCCAGCAGCATCTCCACCACATACGCAACGAGTACCAGACCCTACAGTCCTCGGAGAACTGGCTGGTGCGGCAGCGCAGCGTTGCCCTTTACTGCATCGACCAGCTGGCCATGAGCTGCGACGCCGAGGAGGTGCCGGCCGAGACGACGGTGTGCGGCCTCTGCGTGCAGAACATCAAGCTCTGCCCCCGCCTGGGCGGGCAGCGCAACGTGCTGCAGCTGCTGGCCGGCAACCGGGACTGCCGGCAGCGCGAGTACAAGAGGAGCAGCGTTCCGCCCGGGATCTTTTACAATCTGAGCGTCTTCATTTGCGGCAAGCAGCCAGATGAGCTGGTCTTCGAGGAGCTAAACACCGAGACATTGAACGAACACCTCGACTTTCTGATGGATGGCCTAACGTCGAGTGTGTTTCGCATCTGCAATGCCTCGCGGCTGCTAGAGGATCGCCTCATCAAGATTCCACTGAGCGCCACGCTCTGCGAGCAGCTGACGGCCTACAACAAAGCCCTCAAGGCGGTCCACATGCACTGCGGCTTTCGCCATCGCCGTATCGATCCCTTGCCAGCCCTGAAGCGACCCTGTGCCATTCCCCGGAACAGCGCGGCGGAGCAGCGCAAACTGCGCTCCATTCGATTGCAGACAAAGCCTCTGGTTGAGGCCACCTTCTTCTATCTGGATCCACGCATAACCATCTCCTGGTGCCTGAGACGCGAAATTCCACTAAGCTCCATCTACTTGAACTATGGCATGCGAAAGAAACTCTTCTGGGCCACCCAATGCACCACTCGGTACTTTTCCTTCTAGTTTGGGTTTTGTTTAATATTTTATTTGCTTTTAGTTTTTATTTTTTTTTTTATATATTTTTGTTTGTTTATTAAATTTTATATTTTAGGAAATTTAAAGTAATTGAAGCTGTTTACTATATATTTAGTAACCAAAAATACATATTATACATGTATATGTATATGTGTAATAATACATATTATTATATTATGTTATTATTTTATTTTATGTGTACAGATAATATATTATATAGGGTTGTCCATATTCGACTAACCCGACTGACCCATCTGGCAGCCTCACATCTTTTGAGAGAGATGCCAGATCGCTTATATACATATTATCTTACCTCTCTATTATAATCAACAGAAATAATTTAGAAATCTTGTTCCAGCTACAACAAAATCGGATGAGAGCTACAACAAAATGTATATAAATGTCAGGGAATTGTAAAATCTATATAGAGTTCTCCATGTCAACATCAACTTCTTTTGCCTTCGCATATTCTCACTTGATAGCGACTGCGCCGCGAATTGAACTCAATTCATGGCTAAACAAGGATCTAAAAAAAAAGAGCAAACCCACACGTTTCTCAGTTTACGTTGCTCAGGGTCTCAGGGGCGTCGCATGTAAATCTACTTTACGGCGCATTGTTGCCGGGAAGTCAGCGCAAAGTGCGTGAGGCCTGCACCTAAATCGCCGATGAAAGCCACAAGTGGAATGGCTAAGGGCATGGGCAGGAGGCGTGCCACATGTGCCGGCGGGCCGAGCTGGAAGCGTGTTGCGATTTTAATTTTTAACGAGAAGCAGCAGCAGCAGCAGCAGCAGCAGGAGCAGGAGCTGGAGCAGCAACGGCAGCTTGGCCGTGTTGGGATCATCGTTGTAGCTGTTTTACATTTGTGATAACCAGGCGTGACATAGCGGCCGGCACTTGATGGAAGCGATGGCAGCGAAGGCGGCTCAAAACAAAACGCTTTTCATTACCCGAACCCCCGAAGGGCCAGGTGAGCGAAAATTTGTGCGTGGTGGAAAAACTAATTTTGATTTTAATTAAATATTTATGAGTGACAGCGGGTCGAGTCGCCAGGCTGGCAGTATGGCAATATGGCAGGACTTGAGCTAAGCCAGCCAAGTGCGGCCAAAAGAAATCCACTAATAAAATAACCAAATAGCTGGCAAATAACTTCTACTTATCACTCAGGGCGCATCAGTGAGGAAATTAAAGTATTATCCCTGGAGACCTGGTTGCGTGCCACAGCTCCAGCTGGAACCCCTTGACCAGCGCCCAAACTACTGACATATTTATATATGGGCCAAGGGTCTCTTACCTTGCCGCAGAGTGTGAGGTGTGCTTCGTCTGTGTGTGTGTGTGGTTGTGTGTGTATTGGTCGTTTATTCGATCAAAAGTTACGAGCTCATCTTAGATTGGACATTAAATGGACACTAAAATATTTTCCATCTGCACGCAGCAGCCGGAGCCATCGAAACCCTCGGCGAGCGAGAAACAAGCGAAATAAATGTCATGAAACAACTCATTGACAGGCACATAAGGACACTGGTTTTATGGTCCACAGATATGACCAAAATATATGATTACCATGTGTCCAGCCACATGCGAGCTCGTAAATAGGCATTTTCTCTGCTTTAGCTCTCGACTCTCCCTTCCTCTCTCTCTCCCTCGGACAACAACCACCAAGCCACCCTTCCTCCCACCCCACACACACACATACATATTGAACCCAACAGCCACCCACTCCATAGTTTTACTAGGGGCTTCTGCTGGCCATTTGGTGACTACTTTTTCTTGATGTTTGTTGCCTTTCGCTTGGTTATTTACCAAGTGATCCAGGTGGGACACACACGGAGAGCACTGTCACAGCCTTGGTCAGTCGTAAAAATCAAAATAAAATGAAACTTATGCGTGATGTTTTGCTTTTTTCTCATTGGACTCTGCTATTGCAGTCCCCCCGCCCCCCTTTCCATCGCCCATCGCCCATCCCCCATCCCCTTAAATTCTCTATAGCCTTTTATGCTCGCCCTGCGCTGGAACGGGGCAGAGGAAGGCATCGCTATGGCTCACTTGCTCGCATTACCAATAATACAAACTCTACTTAACTAGACAACTTACGAGTGGGTTCATTTTTGTTGCCTGTTGTCCAAATGTTTTCGTAAAAAATGTCAACTCTTATAGGGCTCTCTGCCCCTTCCATATTTATAGAAATTAAATTCAAAATTTTCAGTTTAGTCGTTTGATCGTTTGTTAATTTTGTACTTCCATAGCAGAAAATTAAATAAAACAGTAAAATAAATAAAATAAAAGAAATTAAAATAAATAAAATTAAAATTAAAAAATTAAATTAAATATATATATAAAACATAGGTAAAAAGATTAATAATTAATAAAAATTAACGAATGAATAGTTGTACGAGTAACATAAAAATTAATTGATTTTAAATTCATTCGTTTAGAACTTAATGAACTTATTGTTAGTTCTACCATTTTTTTTTCATCTATAAAAAATTAAAAATATAAATATATTATACTACGTATCAGAAAATAAAATTAAATTGTATTTTTTTTTTTTTTTTGTAAATTAAACTTAACTGAATAATTAATTATCAAGTACTTAGAAAAATAATACAAATACGTGTCAAAGCTTTGAATTGAACTCGCTAACTTACACATTTAGGAATAAATTTTAAATAAATTTAATTAATGAAAATTCAAAATTACAAATAAATGAAATGACTTCAAATAAGATTCCTCCACATGATTTTACAAGTATTTATTTTATTATCTATTTTATTTTATATACAAATATTAAATTTTATATCTCTCATAGAGATTTCACAGTTGAAGCTGATTAAAAAACATTTATTTTATTTATTATTTATTTCATATCATATACATATATTACATTTGAAATCTCTCACAGCTGGCCTATGCTTAGACCTGATCAACATATTTAGTATATATTTTTAGTGAAGCATTTGGTTAATTTGCTTGTGGAAGAACAACATGAGTGCGCGATGGGAATGTATGGCTATGATTTTATCGCGTGCTGCAGATCAACAAAGCTCTGCTTGCATCATTCGGGGCCGAGCTATCGGAATGGACGTGGAAATAGAGCCTGGCCATGAATGGATAGAGGACATCCAGTTGAGTATAAATTCGCTATTTATGCAGTCTGAGTGTATGCTGATTTCATCTCATCTCATTCGGCGTTACGTGAGCTGATTACGTTAGTCATGCGCGATTGCCGAGTTGGCCAGAGTGAGGACGACAGAGCTTTGGTTCCGTGACCATAGCTAGCACACGCACACAAATCTATATATAGTGTGTTTGTCTGCGTGTGTGTGTCTGTGCATGGGTCTGGGTCATTTTGGCCGTGTTCAGTTGCTTAGCGCCAAATGAAATTGTGCCAACTGGCGACTTGATGAGAATTTCATTTGGTGCGGATTTTTATGACTTTCGAGACAGAGCGATAGAGAGTGAGAGAGAGAGAAAGAGAGAGAGAGAGAGAGAGAGAGAGGAACGATAGAGAGAGATGCTGTGGAAGTTCCACTAAATGATTTCGCATTATTTGTGTCTCTCTCTCACTCTCTCTCTCTCTCTGCTTGCCATAAAAAGTCAATGCATGCGAAATGCTTTCGTGATACGCTCAAACTAGTTCTGGTCCTGGTCTTGGTCCTGGCAATAAGTGAAGCCAGGTTAGGTTCTGTTCGGCCCTCGGTTTATTTGTTTATTCATTGAATGGGGTCGAATCGTAAAAATTATGTTGATGAGTCATCAGTAAATGGCATTTATTTTATTGTCACCTATGCGACCCCACACAGATACACAGATATCTTCAATTATGACCAACTCCGCAGATGATTCGATTCCTTGTGCCAGAGCAATGCTTGCGGAATATGAAAGAGCCGAGCGCCTTGATGCACGGACTACGAATGAGTCTTGTATTTGTATTATTAATGATGTCCCCTCTATCACAATCCGTCCGAGAGTCCGTGACACATGCTTCGCTTCCCAGCGCCTAGTCCTCCAAAATGGACCATTCATTAGATTCGTCATACAGCTCCCATGCCTAATGGGCGTAATAAATGTGGGCACATTTAATTTTTTTTTAATTTACTACAATTTACTGGTATTTATTTTGACTGCATTCGACGGCAGCGCTTCCATTGACATCGCGGCAAATTGGGAGTCAACGGATTCCCGTGCCGTAAACCACCATTCGACAAGCAGATAAATGCCGAGTTCTGGACACGGCAGCTAATAGGAAAAGCCCAATGAGGCACTGTGGAATGGCAATGGAAATTATATGAATTAAGTCTAGCCTGGGCATGTTTAGCTATGTTTTAGGTAAGCTTTATAAAGTGTTTTCAAACGAGATTTTCATATTGGGGCCCAGCTGTCATTGATTAAAGCTTGACGTTCAGCTCATACTTCATGAGGTTGTTGATTTATATAGTTGATTTATATGATTTTCACATATTTCCGAGTGTCATATTAGAATAACATTTATACATTTATTTATTTATTTATGTATGTATTTATTTATTTTATTTATTATTATTTTTTTTATTAGACGTTTGCTTTAAATGTTGAGTTTGCTTCAACAAAAAATTTAAAGCCTTTTAATGACATTAACTGATATGAAAAAAATAATTGATCAATAACTTTTTACGAAAAAAGGAAAACTGAAAGAAAATAACTATTATTTTTTACATATTTTATTTATTGATAAATCAACCAAATATTTTTTAAATCGATTGATAAATATGCAGGAGAATCCTGATAATTCAAATGGCAAAAGGATCAATTTTTTTTTTTTTTTTTCGATTTACATAGAAATTTAAATAATCGTGAATTATTGAGATTTAGATTAGCGGGGTACAAATTATCGAGACTCGACTCATATACTTTGCTGTATAAATTATTTTTCTAAAAATGCTGAGCCAATCCATTCATATGGCATTCGGGTTATTCATAAATAAATATAAACATCTTTTCAATAAAAATA